ATATATATATATATATATAGATATATATATATATAGATATATACCTATTTACTACTATATATATATACTACACACACACACACACACACACACACACATATATATATATATATATATATATATATATAGATATATATATATACTTGCAGATATACACACTCATTTATGTATACATACCTACATACTCTGTCTCTCTCACGCACACACACACATACACACACACACATATATATATACACACACACACACACACACACACACACACACACACACGCACATACACATATATATATTTATATTTATCGTGGCCAACGAAACCTACACATATGGGATTCAAGTACATCTATGCATTTCATGCTGATAAAGGATGATAACAATGGGGTTTCATCATACACCCGTACGTTGTGATGGTGTGATGAATCAGCTCGCTGGCATCTAGGGTAATACTATTTCTGGTATTTACAACTAGTAACAATATTGAAAACATATATCGACTTCTGAAGAATCCGTGCTTACTTGTATGTGTCGACTCGATGGAATGTGACCGTGAATATTCCCTGGGGAACTATATCTCTACACTGAAGCTAAATGCAAAAGATATTCAAAAGGACAAATTCAATAACTTATTGATTACCGCGTGATAATAATGTATTTATGTATTTTAGGTGTAAATATACAGACTAAGTTCTGAGACATCGATTGCTACAGACGTGTGTGGATTTTTATTCGTCACTCAAGGTTTTCATGGTGACTAGTGACTACTGATGATTACATAGTACTTATTTACGTCAAGGAATGACACTCTTGCGAGAGAAAAGACTGTAACGGTTGGATACTAGATTCTATAAGGTATATATATAATACCTTTTAAATAAGACTATTCACCTGCAGATTATTCATTCTCTAGACCCCACGGAAGTCAAAATTTGTCGCCTGTGAAAATGAAATATCTCAAATAAAGAAAAAGGCACTCGATTTGGTCCAAAAATTTCTAATCGCCGCCATTTCCGGCCGTCCTGCCAAACTTGAAACCCAGTTATGGACCAATGGAAAGTTGTATTGGGTTTGTGGTCCAATGGAAACCGAGATTGGAAAATCATTAAAAAAATTATATTGACGTAAAGAAGAGTAGTTTGCTGTTGATGAGTCATGCTGAGGTGTTATCAGTTGGCTATGGATGAGCAGAATTTTTATTTCAGAACTCTTTTCTATTTTTGTTTTTGTTTTTTTGTTTTGCAAAATAGAAATACATTTTTCACAGCCTTCTGAATGCATGATTCAGAAGGTTAAATTACATAAAGGTAGCCTGGACAGCCCGGTGCCTGCCTGGGTACTGGAATGTATGTATGTATAAACCTTTTAAAATAAGGATATAAATACCACAACCATCTGAATCATACATTCTTATTTTGATATATGTGTGTAAACAACTCGATCTCCTTTTTATATTGTGCGGTATTATATGTACTCTCGAATCTCGATAGAGAATTCTAAATATCAACCAATATGTTTGTGGGGACGAGAATCCAGGGTTCCGAGTTAACGTTTCGTTGTGTAAACTAATATGCGACAATACGGTGAAGCATTTTTTATTGAGTAAAGTGTAAACCTAGTTGTCGTTTGTATGTATTTGGAATATTTGTTTGTATGTAGTTTTGTTGGAATGTCTCTATTGAACTCTCGATAGTCTACATCGATTTTTCTGGAATCTGTGTAAAGCCCAATCCATATCATGAAGAACAAGAATGCTTCTTCGACCATTCAATGTTCGCAAAATCTAAGACTCTGAGTTGCCAGTCCCGTTTGTATACGTGAGCAAGTGGGGGTATGATGGTAGGAGATTCTCGCAAAGTTCATTAAATCCCGAGAACGCAACAATATACATACAATGTAACTTTTGATATCCACATTGCAATTGCAATCTAATTTACACCATACTGTATACCTTCCTAGCTGGTTTGCTGTCAGTAGAGGGTTGTGGCTGCGGGATTTCTTTCGCAGCTAGCACAGTCCTCTCAGCCACCGGTTATAAAAAGCGAGCTTTATTTTGATGACCATAACCCGATCTCTTCAGAGATGTATTCCTTGCCTTCACCCGGGATCAAGAAACCACTCTCAGTAGCTACTACAAATGCTAGTCATTCTGCCGTCATTTTAGCAATCCTTGACTCAATCCCCCGCCGGACTACTCCTCACTATTCATGTATTGACAGTTTGATATCTCAAAGTAAACAAATTCCCCAGCGTTTCATAGCTTTTATATTCTAGGCTGTCGACTACAGTCGTGTTCATGGCGTATTATTAGTCCTTGATTGATGGGAAATACGAGCTGCCCAGTACGATTCTGCAGTTTAACAGTTTTGACACAGACGTTCAATATTTTGACATGGTTTAGATGGAACCAAGTGGTCTGTGCATATGCCATTTATGATGAGCTTGAATAGATCGTGACCTATTATCAAGATCCAGTTGTAAAGTGGCCCAATGTTTAATCATGTGCACATGTCTGTGATGACCGGCGTAGTTACATGCTCCAGAACATACCGATATATAATGATCTACCAGAGTTTTTGCCCAACAAAGCCACAGCAAAAGTGCACCCCCACCCTAGAAATATATGGGACAACAGGCCCGTCGCCATCGTTGAAAGTAAAATCGGCGGAAACCCGATTTTCAATAAAAATGCAAGTAATCTAGTGATCTGTTTTTAATACTTTTGGCAGAATTCTGTACAAATTGTTTAGCGAGACTATCCGGTGAGCATACATACGATGCATACAAACGCGCAGAAAAGTACGATACCATACCGCCCTGTGGCAACGATATACATTTGCGTAGGCGAACCTCGGCTACAAGCCGGAGGATTAGCAACACACTTCAGCACATGTTTTGTACATATACGTTAACTAATACATATGCGTTAATCACTCGAGTATCCCTGATGGGTAGCTATGACCCCCCCCCGCCAACCAATCAAACAAAGAACAGGCTCCGCATGACCACCATTTGCGTGCAAGCCCGAGTTCTCTCAACATAAGAGCCCCATCGCACTATAAGTAGCAGCGTGTATCAGTCACCACGTGTGGTTAACAGCTGTCGTCTATTCGTCGATGTCGTCATTCTTCTTGTCCTTGTGCTTATGTCCGAAGATCTTCTGAGTGAACGACATTGACCTTTTCTGCTTCTTGGGCCGATCCTGTATGGATACAGATGGGGAGAATAGACGAGCATGAAAAAAGTGTTATCTACCTACACTATAGAACTTACTTTCGAGTTAATTAGAACGAAACACACCACACACACAAACACACACACACTCACACAAACTATACACAGGTACATCAGCATATACTCATATAAAAATATATCTATAGACTTACCGGTGAGAGAGATGAGGATTCGGTTGGTAATTCTTGCAGGCTGGAGGGGACCTTGTTATCGGCGGGGTGCTCTTCTTCTTCCACGAGTAGTTCATTGTCGGACAGTTTTTCCTGTAATTGGTAGTAATGAATATCGCCATTGAGCACACTGGGACCTGATCAGACGAGTTCTGCGACTCTGTGGGATGAGCAATCGCACCCTCAGGGAGGGCCACACGCAATCTCACTTGGACCAACGCGTTCACAAACGAGAACTCATCGCGCACCCCCTCCATCTACCTCACTAAATGGCCACAAGCAAATGGCGTTCACAGACTTGCTGCTGATACGTTTACACTAGTATTGTTCTACATCATATAGCACTATATGTACCATATCCGTTTACCGCACTTATATATATATGTATATATATATATATATATATATATATTATATATGACACATGTTTTACTATACTATACTGTCCTTGGTATCCAGGATCCAAATATCCATTTCCACACACCAACCAGCTGTATATAGATTCCAATACGTTTCGTACACTCCTACCTTCTTTTTCTTGTTTATTCCGATCATACTCGAGGACATGCTGCCTGCCATACCTGCAGCTCCCTTGCCTACGTGACCCAGACCTTTGACGGCGCCAACACCTACATTACCAACGCCCTTGACGGCGCCAACACCTACATTACCAACGCCCTTAACGGCACTGCCTGTAAGTAGAGAAACGTGCAAAATCAAGATTACTACCTCGCACCAAATAGAGTTTGAAGTTGTCTGTTAAGACATTTGTATACAAATGTGCATTTGTGTATGCGTATACATATATGTGTGTGTACACATATATAAATATACATATACCATTACATACACACACACACACACACACACACACACACACACACACACACATATATATATACATATATATATAGACATACATACATACATGCATATACATACATTTATAATATATATATTCACCTATGAAAATATTCAAGTGAATTGTTCCCCATTGTCAAAGCTGTATCACAAATCAGACCGTGACGGTACACCCAACAAACACACCTCCTATATGGCCAACACCCTTGACAGCACTGAGGCCAGCATTACTCATATTTGCGTAGGACGAGAACATGTTCGTGTTGTAGTCTTCCGGGCGTGGTTGTGGCTTGAGCTGACTGATGGTGGGTGTGAAGGCTTGCATGGCAGCGAGATCGAGTCTGTGGGTGATAGACGGCGTTGAGTATAGAAGTTACGGGATGAAAGTATATATTATATATATATATATATATATATATATATATATATATGTGTGTGTAAGTAAAAAAAAAATGTATGTATGTATGTGTGTGTGTGTGTGTACATCTATAGTGCCCATATCGGAGTGCAACACTCGGACAGATACACGCGTGAATCGTTGTCCGACTCCCCACTCGGTACTCAACCACGAGAGAGGATGGGGATATATACACGATACAGTACATATACTTGTTCACTTGGGCAAAACCGTCCACAGCGAACACGTGGCCCATTGAATTTGCATTGGGTTAGGGCTGGGACGCCATTAGTACCGAACATGAACAACTAAAACCCTAAACCCTAAAACATTATTACCGTAGTAGGAGACTAAAATATCACCGGATTAAGGTCGAAAGGAGTGCCTGATAACCGGAGTCGATTAATACTAAATGGACATATATGTTAACATATTTACATTCAATACGTACACAAGCACACTAGACCTATTCTAATACCTGGCACGGTGTCTAGTTTCATATAAATAGATCGACTATTTCGAGAAAGCAGAACACAAAACATAAATATGAGTTCACGGTACAACAATACATACATGTATCTGAATGGATATCAAATAAATATACATACATGTATTTGTATGGGATATCAAATAAAACACATCCATGCAATCGAATATACATATACGAATCTGAATTATATCAAATAAAATAAATACATGCAAATGAATATACATATTTGTTTCTGTATGGATATCAAATTCGATACTCTATGGCACTATCTTACAGAAGGAGAAAAAACAAAACAAAAAACACTGGAAAAGGAGCACACAAGACTCATCTGCATTCCCGACATGGTTGGAGAGGGGAGTAACGACAACCCGTGAGACACATGCACTTGACAGATAAACGTTTAAACGGTTAAGCATCGCCAACAGAACGAGACGCACTGTCGACTCAACACTGAGTGACATCTCTTGGGACATATGCACTTGATTAATTAACGTTTAAGTATCGCCAACAGAACAACAAAACACACTCGCACTGTCGGACTCAAACTACATACCCCACACGGTTAGGTACCAGCATGATCTCATTCGACAAATCACGGATAAGGCGGCGCACAATCCACATGATGAACGGAAACTCGGTCACGTCAATGCCAAAGATCTGGATACTCATGTCAATCTCCAGCGGCTCTAAGAGAGACACCCAGGCGTAGCACACATAGCGTTGGTCGTTGGGCAGGAAGCGCAGGAACAGCCGCAGCGCCGATTTGAAAGTGACGTTCTTGAGCTTGATGGGGATGGAGATGCCCTGTATACGACACAGAGGAAGCATTTACGTTTAATACAAAAGGTTATTGAGCTTGATGGGGATGGAGATGCCCTGTATACGACATAGAGGGAGCATACACGTTTAATGCAAAAGGTTGGTGAGCTTGATGGGGATGGAGATGCCCTGTATACGACACAGAGGGAGCGTATACGTTTAATACAAAGCGCTGGTGAGCTTGATGGAGATGGAGATGGAGATGCCCTGTATACGACACAGAGGGAGCATATACGTTTAATACAAAGCGTTGGTGTGCAGATGGAGATGCCCTGTATACGACACATAGGGAGTATATACTTTAATACAAAGCGTTGGTGTGTAGATGGAGATGCCCTGTATACGACACAGAGGGAGCATGTACGTTTAATACAAAGCGTTGGTGAGCTTGATGGGGTGCCCTGTATACGCCACATAGGGAGCATATATACGTTTATTATAAAGCGTTGGCGAGCTTGATGGGGATATACTACGCATAGTGAACAGATACATTCAATCCAAAGTTCAGTGTCAGTGGTGTGCTTTATTATTATCGACAAATGACAGCAGTAAAAGGACGTTTGAAAATGCGACAGAACAGATGACGCGGTGTAACGACAACGACAACGATTGGATAAGCCATTAGCGGAGTAGTGGATTTAATGCCACAAGAGCATACTGTGTGTATCAAAGCAACATTAACCCTAACCACTCTGAGACGGGTGAGTATGTATCAAAGTAACATAAATTCTAATCACTCTTAAACGTGTGAGTATGCATCAAAGTAACATAAACCCTAACCACTCTCAAGAGTATGTATCAAAGTAACATAAACCCTAATTACTCTTAAACGTGTGAGTATGTATCAAAGTAACATAAATTCTAACCACTCTTAAACGTGTGAGTATGTATCAAGGTAACATAAATTCTAACCACTCTTAAACGTGTGAGTATGCATCAAAGTAACATAAAACTCTAACCATTCTTAAACGTGGGAGTATGTATCAAAGTAACATACACCCTAACCATTCTTAAACGAGTGAGTATGTATCAAAGTAACATAAACACTAACCATTATTAAACGTGTGAGTATGTATCAAAGTAACATAAACCCTAACCATTCTTCTAGACGTGGTATGCGGTCAAAGAAAGCTATCAATTCAATATCAATCTGCACATTACGTATTTGTGTCAAGCAATAAGTAAACTGTATGTACCAACAAATGATAGTCTCAAACCTTGGTGCCTGGTGTCAGACCCCTCAGCCTGATAAGCCATAGTAAATAACGCCCCCGAGTGCGTGATAAACATATATCAAACGGTACGGAAATGCATTGTATACCGGGTCTATACCTTTTTGATCTTCAACTCAAGCTTAAAGTCTGATTCGTACGACATCTCACAGTCGAACTTCAGTGCCTCCATGGATTCGTTCCACACACGGAAGTTGCTGTTTGTGTGAACGTATACGTAAACGTTAATTAATTGACACATTAGGACGGTCCTACACCTGACTCTTTGGGAGAAGGCACGACTACTACAGAAAGAAAGGATAAATAAAGATATATACGAATAAATAAAGATAAAGACTAAATATAGACTAAGTAAAGATATATACGAATAAATAAAGAAAGGATAAATAAAGATAAAGACTAAATATAGACTAAGTAAAGATATATACGAATAAATAAAGAAAGGATAAATAAAGATAAAGACTAAATATAGATATATACGAATAAATAAAGATACGCTCCCAACCACGCACTATCCTGACCGGCACAGTCGTATTGATAGCATTGGTAAGAAGCCCAGGTAGACACATACAAAGTACCAGTGAGGTGATCGATGTATACGACAACAGGTGCCACGTGTTAACAGTACAAGAGTGAAGTACCTGAGCTGTGGGTAGTATGCACCACGTGTTAACAGTACAAGAGTGAAGTACCTGAGCTGTGGGTAGTATGTACCACGTGTTAACAGTACAAGAGTGAAGTACCTGAGCTGTGGGTAGTATGTACCACGTGTTAACAGTACAAGAGTGAAGTACCTGAGCTGTGGGTAGTATGAGCCCACTGAGCAAGCCTCGACGCAGAGTTCCTCCAGAAAGGCTGGCTTATTCGGTTCTATTGCCGCATTGGCATTCAGGATGATCTGTGTACCACACACGGGAAAAAGAGATGGTGGGGCGGGTTCAGGGGTCAAGGCCGAACGAGTGGGTGAACCAAGCGCTTATACGTATACTCAGAAGTAGGGCAAATGACCACTCATGGGTGATACAGGACTCTTATTATGAAGTAGCGATGAAGTACAGACCCACCTGTTCTTCCATGGTCTTGGGGAAATTGATCCAGATGGTTTTGATCAGGTTATTAACCCAGTACATGGACTCCTTCTCGGGATTGGGGTTGTCGTAGAAGGTGTTGGCGTGGTTGATGACACGCTTCTGCACTTTCCTCTTCACAGCGATCAGTTGTATGGCTGCCACAGACAAACATGGGACAGCGCAGAGATTAGCTAAAACGGACGATAGTGATACGATATGCAAATACAGGTGATAGTGTAACGATTGGCAAAGTCAAATGATACGATTGGCAAAGTCAGATGATAGTGATACGATTGGCAAAGTCAGATGATAGTGTTACGATGTGCAAAGACAGGTGACAGTGTAACGATTAGCAAAGTCAGATGATAGTGTTACGATGTGTAAGGATGAGACAGGGCAGAGTTTAGCTAAGACAGATGATAGTGTAACGATTGGCAAAGTCAGATGACAGTGTAACGATTGGCAAAGACGGATGATAGTGTAACGATTGGCAAAGACAGATGATAGTGTAACGATTGGCAAAGATAATAGTGATACGATGTGCAAAGATAGATGATAGTGATACGATTGGCAAAGTCAGATGATAGTGATACGATGTGCAAAGGCAGATGATAGTGTTACGATGTGCAAAGTCAGATGATAGTGTAACGATTGGCAAGGTCGGATGATAAGTGTTTGAGATGCGCATAAGCATGAATAGTGACTAGTGCATTACCCGACAGCCTCGACAGCGGTCTGGGAGTGAGACACAGACTCTGCGCACGATCAATCTAAGCCGTAGAGGGGGTACTTTCGATGAAAGTATAGGACTAAGCAAACCTATCAAGTACATTGGGTGTGATGTGATTAGATGAAAGTATAAGCCAACCTATCAAGTGCATTGGGTGTGATGTGATTAGATGAAAGTATATGCAAACCTATCAAATACATTGGGTGTGATGAAATTAGATGAAAGTAGAGGCAAACCTATCAAGTACATTGGGTGTGATGTAATTAGATGCAAGTATAGGCAAACCTATCAAGTACATTGAGTGTGATGCGGTTAGATGAAAGTATAAGCAAACTTATCAAGTACATTGGGTGTAGAGTGGTTAGATAAAAGTATAAGCAAACCTATCAAGTACACTAGGTGTGATGTGGTTAGATGAAAGTATGGGGCACGGAAAAGATGTCTCAGCAAACCTATAGAGTGCATTGGGTGTGATTTGCTTGTATTGATCTTGCTCACAGTTGCAGTGTCGCAGACTTGAAGGGTCCCAACTACGAACCATTGGCTACCGCAGAACCAGAACAACCATTGTGATGCAATGCACATGGTGGATAGATATGCAACACAATAAGAGGACACCACATCACTGAACAACATACGTCGTTTTGTGTGTGTGTAGGTAAGATAGGATCAATCAGGTACACCAAGAACATGCTGCATTATAGTATGTACGCTACATACTCTAGAATAAGTGAAAAGCGAGATGCGATCTTAAGGTATATTGGATAGCACGAGGTACATACACGCACTCTCGAGGCACATACTTACACTCATGAGACACATACACACACCCATGAGACACATGCACACACTCATGAGACACATACACACTCATGAGACACATACACACACTCATGAGACACATACACACACTCATGAGACACATACACACACTCATGAGACACATACACACACTCATGACACACACAAACACATTAGCTGCGCATAAATCGTGCACACAGGTTGTGACCATGGGCGCGCGTCTTACCCAATAGGCCCACGGCAAGGAAGACAATCCACACCAGTGAGAAGTCGTAGTTGCCCAGCACCCAGGCGGACATGAACATGAAGGGGAAGTACAGGTTTGGCCTGGGGGGGTTGAATGGTGGTCTTATAGTTAAGTCGTATTGATATGGCATAGGCTACTTAGTGATGGATGATACGCCGTACTTACTGTGGCGTGCTTTTGCGACTGATGCGAGCTAGCAAGGCCTATATATGGCAGCGTGGAAAGCTTGTAGGTAAAACCCGCCGGCAGGCTACTACCTATGTCTGTATCAGGCGGGACATGTCAGAAATCTGGTCCATGGTGAGTCATATACGATTAATTGTGCAGAAAGCTCACATGCGCGCGACCATCAGACCTGAAACAAAAAGTTCGGTACCAAACTATGCACCCCTCCGACGAAGGCATTGTGGGTTGCAAATTATACACTCGATTGTTGATGTTATCAACTAGTTGTTAAAATACACACGGTAGTCAATACACGTTGGTGTAGCTGAGACGAGAAGAAAAAAGCGGACTTATCTGGCTGTGCGAACAGTTGTGCATTTAGAGACGCACGCACACATGTATAGTACAGCTTGAAAATTTGAATGTCAAATGATTCACCATATATATATATAAGCATATATATATATGTATGTATATATATGGTGGATCCTTTAACATCC